AGTGAGAGAAGGCCGGTCACTCACTGTCAGCAGTTCCAGAAACTGCTGGGTCTGATGGCAGCTGCGTCCAACGTGATACCTTTTGTCCTGCTGTACATGAGACCCCTACAGTGGTGGCTCAAGACCAGGGGGTTCTCCCCGAGGGGAAACCGGCTTCGCATGCTCAAGGTCACGCGGAGATGCCTACGTGCCTTGGACATGTGGAGGAAACCTTGGTTCTTGTCTCAGGGCCCGGTGCTGGGAGCTCCGTGTCGCCGCGTAAAAGCTAGCAACAGTCGCGTCTCTCACCAGTTGGGGAGCGGTCATGAGTGGCCGCTCGGCCCACGGTCTGAGGAGTAGTCGCCATCTCACGTGGCACATCAACTGCCTGGAGATGCTGGCCGTGTTTCTAGCATTGAAACACTTCCTCCCAGACCTAAGAGATCTCCATGTGTTGGTGCGCACCGGCAACACACCGGTGGTCTCTTACATCAACCACCAGGGCGCTCTGCGTTCGCACCCCTTGTACAAGCTGGTGCACCAGATACTTGTGTGGTCCCAGGGCAAACTCCTCTCGCTGAGAGCAGTTCACATTCCTGGGCATCTCAATATGGGAGCCGACATCCTGTCGAGACAGGGGCCGAGGCCCGGGGAATGGAGGCTTCCTCCCCTCCAGCAGATATGGAGAGTTTGGCCAGGCTCAGGTGGACCTGTTTGCAACTCAGGAGACATCGCACTGTCCCCTTTGCTTCTCTCTGACTCATCCAGCTCCATTGGATGTCATGGTACAGACTTGGCAGAGGCTTCGTCTGTACGCCTTTCCCCCGATCGCTCTGCTCCCGTGAGTACTGGAGAGAGTGCGCTGGGGCGGGGTCCATCTGCTGCTAGTAGCCCTGTTCTGGCTGGGCCGAGTATAGTTCTCGGACCTGATTTTCCTTCTCGACAGCTCTCCATGGGAGATTTCCGTCAGGAGGGATCTCCTCTCACAGGTGGAGGGTACAATCTTTCACCCCCACCCGCCGAGAGTTCTGGAGAGAGTGCGCCGGGACGGGGTTCGTCTGCTGCTAGTAGCAGTACCCGTTCTGGCCGGGCCGAGTATGGTTCTCGGACCTGATTTCCCTTCTCGACGGCTCTCCACGGGAGATTCCCGTCAGGAGGGATCTCCTCTCACAGGCGGAGGGTACTATCTTCACCCCCGCCCGGAGCTGTGGAAGCGTGGGTGTGGCCCCTGAGGGTTGTTGAGACCCTTCTCCAATCCAGAGCTCCCTCTATGAGGAAACTGTATGCCCTGAAGTGGAAGCTTTTCACTTCTTGGTGCGGAGACCGCCAGCTCGACCCAGTTTACTGCCCAGTTGGTACAGTGCTGGAGTTCCTGCAGGCCCAATTCTCTGCAGGGTTGACCCACTCAACCTTGAAAGTATATGTGGCAGCCGTTGCGGCCTACCACGCCCCTATCGATGGCCAGTCTAGTTCAGAAGGCTAGTTACATGTTTCCTCAATGGTGCACTGAGGCAGAGGAGTCTCGTTCCCTCGGGGAACCATGGTTACATGCGTAACCTGGAGACGTTTTCTATTATGGATCAGTGGTGTAAACATATTGTTTGTCTTTACAATATAATGCCTTATATGCCTTGTATGCCTTGTATGTCTTTACAATTCCAAACTGCATTACCAAAAATACTTTGTCTATATTATGTTTATATTTAAACTACAACATTGCCTCAAGTACCTTATTGTTTCTACATAATAAAAATTAAGGACACACATTTTTATTATCTTTTTAAGCAAACATTTTAAATGACATCCTTCCACCATAAGATATACATGACACAACAAAACGTTGCAATTCAACAAAAATCACTATCACCTCTGAGTGCTGAGCAACAATATGATAAACAGGTGTTTTTCACGCTATAGCCATTACTATATAGTGGATTTCAGCATTACTGAACACTGTACTGACCAATAAGAAGCCAAGACTAGAACTACCCATGTAAAAAAGACAGAGTATACACAGATCTGAAAACAGAATGTACCTGTACATGTGTTATTGATGCTGATGGTGAGACTTGAGTTTGTTGCAGTGAATCCATCCAGACATGAGCAATTATAACTTCCAATTTCATTTGTGCAGTTGGCATTTGGACCACATACAGATGGACTGAACAAACATTCATCTATATCTACGAAAAAAAATATTTGAAAAAGTAATTACTTAAAGTTATTAAATACATCTATACAAGGAGTACATAAATTAAGTTGAAATGTCAACATTTACAATAACAGTAATAATAATAATAATCTGGATCCTGAAATGTTATATTTGTAATGAGAATCTTTAAAAATCACCAAAGTAATGATTAATGAGTAATGATTAATGACTAAATTATGCAATAACCAAAAGTTGAAAATGACTTGCAAACTGTAATGCAGAATATCTTATAAATAAAAACTGACCAGTGCATGGGTTGCCTTTACTAATAGCTTTATTTCCATCTGAGACATTATATCCACCCCAACAAAAGCATGAGAAGCTTCCGTTGTAATTGTAACAGTGAGAGTTCGGGCCACACACTGATTCTGAGTCAAGACATTCATGAATATCTGAAATAAAATTTAATTTAATCAATTGAAAGGTTACAGTTGAAGGGTGATTCACGCAGAACAAATAGTAACAAACTGTTCATTGCTTCATACCTTTGCATGGGTTATTATTGTTTATAGGGAGGTTTGGGTCTGTTACATTATATCCACTCATGCACGAGCAATTGTAACTCCCAACAGTGTTGTTGCAGATTGAGTTTGGACCACAGACATCTGATATCTCAACACATTCATTCACATCTATATTAAAAGAAAATTACAGGGAAAAGAACAATTTGGGTCACTCATACATATGTGAAGGTCAACTCATACTTTGACATCTTTACAATAGAATGCTTCATTTACAATATTATGCCCAAAGTAGGAACACTGAAACCTCATAATGTTGGCATTAAACACATAATTGATATTTAGTTTAATAAAACTGATTGGACTAATGTTGCGTAAAAACATCTAGTTTTTCATTTAATGTTAAAGTAAACCTAGATCTGCACATACAGTACCTTTGCATGTGTTATTGATGCTGATGGAGAGACTTGAGTTTGTTGCAGTGAATCCACCCAGACATGAGCAATTATAACTTCCAATTTCATTTGTGCAGTTGGCATTTGGACCGCATACAGATGGACTGAACAGACATTCATTTATATCTATGAAAATAAAATGTATTAAAATGATAATTTAAGAACAATTTTCATTAACACAATCACCTAAACACATGAAAGACATTTGTTATCTCATGGCAGTCATCTGTCTATAAAAAGGAGCATATAAATCATGAAGGAAGAAATAATGTATGTCAAAATTATTTTAGAAAAATGAAAAATAATTAAGCAAGATTATATATACATAAAAATAATGATTATTAACATTGATAAAGACATATTTTAAATTACACAACAATCTAGAGATGACATCATTTTGAGCAGTTTCCAATAAATAATACCTGAAAATCAAAACAGTAAATATAACATACAGCAAACTTACCGATGCATGGATTACTTCTGGAAATATCTTTATTTCCATCTGAGACATTATATCCTTCCCAACAAAAGCATGAGAAGCTTCCGTTGTAATTGTAACAGTGAGAGTTTAGTCCACACACTGATACTGAGTCAAGACATTCATGAATATCTGAAATTTAAAAAAAAAAAAATTATAAAAGGACAGGTTACAGTTGACAGAAAATTTAGTCAGAATAAACAGTTACTGTTCAGAGCTTCAGCTGTCAATCATACCTTTGCATGTGTTATTGCTGTTTATAGGGAGGTTTGGGTCTGTTACATTATATCCACTCATGCACGAGCAATTGTGACTCCCAACAGTGTTGTTGCAGATTGAGTTTGGACCACAGATATCTGATGTCTCAACACATTCATTCACATCTATATTAAAAGGAAGTTAAGGGAAAAAGAACAGTTTGGGTCACGTATACATAAATGATAGTCAATTCAATCTTTGACATCTTTACAAAAGAACGGCTTGTTTACAAAATTTATATCCAAAGAAAAAAACATCAATTCTAGCAAATTTTTCAAGGTTATAAAGTTAGAGTAAACACAAATATAAAATGTACCTTTACATGTATTATTGATGCTGATGGGGAGACTTGAGTTTGTTGCAGTGAATCCATCCAGACATGAGCAATTACAACTTCCAATTTCATTTGTGCAGTTGGAATCTGGACCACATACAGATGGACTGAACAGACATTCATTTATATCTGGAGGAGAAAAATTCACGAATATAAACACCTAAAACATGAAAGTGAAACGGTATCTCACAACATTCATCTACATCTATACAAGGAGAATAAGGATTGAGAAAAAACAATAGCAAAAAAAAACACACACACACACACACACACACACACACACACACACACACACACACAAACACACACACACACACACACACACACACACACACACACACACACACAAACACACACACACACACACACAAAAACAAAAAAACAACAACAACAGAAAAAGCATTATTTTGAAACTGTTCGCACAAAGAAACATGTGTCTATAAAAACGGAATTTAAGGCCTAAATTTCATGTTGAAACTGCACCAGTACCTCTACATGTGTTATTGATGCTGATGAGGAGACTTGAGTTTGTTATAATGAATCCATCCAGACATGAGCAATTGTAACTTCCAATTTCATTTGTGCAGTTGGAATCTGGACCACATACAGATGGGTTGAGCAGACATTCATCTACATCTATGGAAAAAGTAAAATACTAAAATAAGGGATTATTTAAAAAAAAAAGTTATTTAATTACAATTACAACAGCACAAGTAGCTTCCATTTTCATTGTAACAGTGAGAGTTCTGCCACCACACTGATGGTGAATCAAGACACTCATAAATATTTGAAATAAAATAATTTATAACTTCAAAGGTTACAGTTGAAGGAAGATTTAGGCAGTACAAATAGTAACAAACTGTTAATTGCTTCAACTGTCAATCATACCTTTGCATGTGTTATCGCTGTTTATAGGGAGGTTTGGGTCTGTTACATTATATCCACTCATGCACGAGCAATTGTAACTCCCAACAGTGTTGTTGCAGATTGAGCTTGGACCACAAATATCCGATATCTATGGGAAAAAGAACAGTTTGGGTCACTCATACATATGTGACAGGCAACTCAATCTTTGATATCTTTTGAAAATAACTGCTTGTTTACAAAATTTATATCCGAAGAAACCCCCCCCCAGACAAATTCTAGGTAATTATTCAAGGTTATAAAGTTAGAGTAAACAAATCCAAATATAAAATGTACCTCTACATGTGTTATTGATGCTGATGGGGAGACTTGAGTTTGTTGCAGTGAATCCATCCAGACATGAGCAATTGTAACTTCCAATTTTATTTGTGCAGTTGGAATCTGGACCACATACAGATGGACTGAACGGACATTCATCTACATCTATGGAAAAAGTAAAATACTAAAATAAGGGATTATTTAAAAAAAAAAGTTATTTAATTACAATTACAACAGCACAAGTAGCTTCCATTTTCATTGTAACAGTGAGAGTTCTGCCAACACACTGATGGTGAATCAAGACACTCATAAATATTTGAAATAAAATCATTTATAACTTCAAAGGTTACAGTTGAAGGAAAATTTAGGCAGTACAAATAGTAACAAACTGTTCATTGCTTCAACTGTCAATCATACCTTTGCATGTGTTATTGCTGTTTATAGGGAGGTTTGGGTCTGTTACATTATATCCACTCATGCACGAGCAATTGTGACTCCCAACAGTGTTGTTGCAGATTGAGTTTGGACCACAGATGTCTGATATCTCAACACATTCATTCACATCTATATTAAAAGGAAGTTATAGGAAAAAGAACAGTTTGGGTAACTTATACATAGACGACAGTCAATTCAATCTTTGACATCTTTACAAAAGAAGGGCTTGTTTACAACATTTATATGCAAAGAAAAAAAATTTAAATTCTAGCTAATTATTCAAGGTTATAAAGTTAGAGTAAACACAAATATAAATATAAAACGTACCTCTACATGTGTTATTGATGCTGATGGTGAGACTTGAGTTTGTTGCAGTGAATCCATCCAGACATGAGCAATTGTAACTTCCAATTTCATTTGTGCATTTGGCATTTGGACCACATACAGATGGACTGAACAGACATTCATTTATATCTAGAGGGGGGGAAAAATCACAAATATAAACACCTAAAACATGAAAGCGAAATGGTATTTCACAACATACATCTACATCTACACAAGGAAAATAAGGATTGAGAAAAAACAACATCACCATCCCCCCCAGACATAAGCAATTGTAACTTCCCATTTCATTCATGCAGATGGAATTTGGACCACATACAGATGGACTGAACAGACATTCTTTTATATCTATTTAAAAAAGTGATTATTAAAAACAATATTTTATGCAATAACAATTATAACAGCAGTTCAGACAACACACAAATTCAGTCAAGACACTAATGAATATTTGAAATAAAATAATTGGTAATGTGAAAGGTTACAGTTGAAGGAAGATTCAAGCAGTACTAATAGTAACAAACGGTTCAGAACTTCAGCTGTCAATCCTTCCTTTGCATGTGTTATTGCTGTTTATAGGGAGGTTTGTGTCTGTTACATTATATCCAATCATGCACGAGCAATTGTGACTCCCAACAGTGTTGTTGCAGATTGAGTTTGGACCAAAGATATCTGATATCTCAACACATTCATCCACATCTATATTAAATTTTTTTTTATTTGAGCGACTTGTGACAGTATAAGTGTCATCTGATCTAATGACTGGATTGCTCGTTGCACTCTAAACTGCAATTTGGCTGTGAAGCCACCGGAAGTGTTCGAGCGGCCATCTTACTATTCCCGACCAGCAGAGAGCATCATTGACTGACAGCCAAAACCTTGACCTAAAATCACCCCATTTGAAGTGTATGTAAATATGTATATGTAAATGAATTGTTATTTAAGATGTTGTCTGCAATGTTTATGGTCTTTTCGGGCAGGGTAAGCGATATATTGAAATGGTTTAGGTGGGTATATCTGCTGCACATTGCCGACACAGGTAACTGATCCATCACAAAATATATTTCTTTATGTAAGTAAATATGCAGGAAATATTCATATCTGGTATTAGCATCAGAAATTGATTCAAATAAATATTACAATGCAAGCCTCTGTTAATACTGATCTATACTGCATTGAAATACAAAGCTCATCAGGCATCATCTTGGAAATAAAGCTCATGTCTTTAAGTCTGCGTATGCCAGCGTATGCTTCAACTGTCAATCATACCTTTGCATGTGTTATTGCTGTTTATAGGGAAGTTTGGGTCTGTTACATTATATCCACTCATGCACGAGCAATTGTGACTCCCAACAGTGTTGTTGCAGATTGAGTTTGGACCACAGACATCTGATATCTCAACACATTCATTCACATCTATATTAAAAGGAAGTTATGGGAAAAAGAACAGTTTGGGTCACTCATACATATGCGACAGGCAACTCAATCTTTGATATCTTTTGAAAAGAACTGCTTGTTTACTACATTTATATCCAAAGAAAAAAACCCCCAGATAAATTCTAGCTAATTATTCAAGGTTATAAAGTTAGAGTAAACAAATCCAAATATAAAATGTACCTCTACATGTGTTATTGATGCTGATGGTGAGACTTGAATTTGTTGCAGTGAATCCATCCAGACATGAGCAATTGTAACTTCCCATTTCATTTGTGCAGTTGGAATCTGGACCACATACAGATGGACTGAACAGACATTCATTTATATCTATGGGGAAAAAAATTCACGAATATAAACACCTAAAACATGAAAGCGAAATGGTATCTCACAACATTCATTCTACATCTACACAAGGAGAATAAGGATTGAGAAAAAACAATATCAAACACACACGCGCACACACACACACACACACACACACACACACACCCACAAACAGAAAAAGCATTATTTTGAAACAAAGAAAAATGTGTCTATAAAAACTGTATTTTAGAAGATTTTGAGGAAGATCTGGGCCAAAGGGTCAATTCCAGCAAGTTTAGGTCAATCTCCTTCCTGAGTGTGGAATGCAAAGTTTTCTTCTCAGTGCTTGCGAGAAGGTTGACCACCTACATGATGCAGAAAAACTACATCAATAATTCCATTCAGAAAGGTGGAATTCCAGGTTTTTCAGGCTGTCTGGAACACACATCAATACTCAGCCAGTTGATCCGTGAGGCCAAGCAGAAGAAAGGCGATCTAACAGTGGTCTGGTTGGATCTAGTAAATGCTTATGGATCTATTCCGCATGACCTCATCCAGCTCGGACTCGACCATTACCATATCCCAGCTGATCACCAGCTATCTGAGGGGGATCAAATTGAGGTTTTCATCAGCCCAGTGGACAACTAAATGACAGGATCTCTAGAAGGGAATCCCAATGGGATGTACCATCTCCCCTACCCTCTTTATCATAAGCATGAACCTTCTAATAACAGCAGCAGAAGGCACAACCTGTGGCCCCGTCCTGGAGTTAGGTGTTATCCAGCCAGTGCTGCTGGGTTTTAGGGATGATCTAACAATAACCACTGTGACAAATGTTCGAACGAGATGGGTACTGGAAACCCCAGACAAAGTAGTCACTTGGGCAAGGTTGTCTTTTAAGGCCAGAAAGTCCAGAAGGCTGGTGATCAGGAAGGGCTGAGTCACGAGTAAGTTTAGCCTCCAAGTTCAAGGCGAGGTCATTCCATCCATTGAGGACAGCCCTATAAAGTGCTTGGGGGAGTGGTTCATTGCATCACTGAAAGATGGTACCAATGTTGCAGATGCTGTGAGGCAAACCGAAGAGTGGTTGAAGAAGATCAATAGGTCTGCACTCCCTGGAAAATTTAAATCCTGGCAGTACCAGCATGGCCTTCTGCCCAGGCTTATTTGGCTCCTCACAGTCTATGAGTTCCCCTTAACAGTCGTGGAAGGCATTGAGAGGAAAATTAACAAGCACCTGCGGAGGTGGTTGGGGATTCCCCTGAGCTTCTCTTCGGTGGGCCTCTACATTCGATCAGGACAGCTACAGCTCCCTCTGTCATCAGTTGTGGAGGAATTTAAGGTGGCAAAATGCAGAGTCGCGCTAAGTCTGAGAGATTCTAAAGACGACCGGGTAAAGCAAGCAGACATCACAACAAGATTAGGCCGCAAGTGGGTAGTCAATGCAGCCATTGAACAGGCAGAAAGCTCATTGAAGCTGCGTGACAGCATTGGCAACACCTGCAAAGGACGTCAAGGCCTGGGGTCTACACATTTCCAACAGTTTGGGAATGCAAGTACTATGATCAGGCGAGGCATGGTTCAGGCAGAAATTTGAGCTCAAGAAGAGCAGAGGCGTTTGTCCAGAGCAGTGGAACAAGCATCCCAGGGAGCATGGACAAAATGGGATCTGCCTAAGCGCAAGATCACATGGGCAGAGTTCTGGAGACAGGAGCCCTACCATATCTCCTTCATGTTGCGCTCTGTGTACGATACCCTTCCTTCACCGTCGCATCTGCACACATGGGGGCTGAGGGACGACCCGTACTGCAAGCTCTGTGGTCATAAGGGAACACTTGCACACATATTGTAAGGGTGCAAATCATCTTTAACCGAAGGTTGCTATAGGTGGCGCCACGTCAAGGTGCTCTTGTACTCACCGATACACTTGAGGGAGAGAGGTGCAAGAAGAGGTTAGGTGGCACAGGCAAGGAAACTATCACTTTCATCAAGGAGGGAGCCAGGCCCTTTGCAACCAGGGCGTTAGCAAAATCTAACTTGCTGCAGGCCACGGGCTCTTGGGAAATGAGAGTTGATATCGGAAGAAGGCTGCAGTTCCTGGAAGTGGTCCACACAGCTCTTCGCCCAGACGTCATCCTGTGGTCAGCCAAAGATCGTAAAATCATCTTAATTGAGCTGACTGTGCCATGGGAGGAGGGCTGTGAAGAGGCTCACAAGAGGAAGGCCTTGAAGTGTCAGCCTTTAATTCAAGAGTGTAAAGACAAAGGATGGCAGGCATGGCTGTTCCCTGTGGAAGTAGGTTGTAGAGGCTTTCCTGCCAAGTCAGTATGGTGGCTGATGTCAGCTTTAGGCATGGACGAGAAGAACAAGAAACATGCTGCTTGCAGAATGGGAGAGGAGGCTGAGCGAGCTTCATGCTGGATATAGAGCAAGAGAGAGGAAGAAAGCTGGCAGCCAGGAGCAGATGGGCAGTGAGCTGGCGACCACTGCCGAACCACCAACTGGAGAGTGTTGTGGTTAAGGGTCGAAACACTCAAGGAAGGTTGGGTACCACCTGATGACATCTGCTTATGGCTGAAAGCTATGGTTACATAAAGGAGTAACCGAGGAAAGCGCCTAACAGGTGTATTCCACAATGTCTATAAAAACTGTATTTTAGGCCTAAATTTCATGTTGAAACTGCACCAGTACCTCTACATGTGTTATTGATGCTGTTGGTGAGACTTGCGTTTGTTGCAGTGAATCCATCCAGACATGAGCAATTATAACTTCCAATTTCATTTGTGCAGTTGGAATCTGGACCACATACAGATGGACTGAACAGACATTCATTTATATCTAAACGGAGAAAAAAATTCACAAATATAAACACCTAAAACATGAAAGCGAAATGGTATCTCACAAGATTCATCTACACCTATACAAGGAGAATAAGGATTGAGAAAGAACAACATAATTTGAGGCACTTGTGACAGTATACATGTCATCTGATCTAATGACTGGATTGCTCATTGCACTCTAAACTGCCATTCGGCTGTGAAGCCACCGGAAGTGTTCGAGTTGCCATCTTACTATTCCCTACCGGCAGAGAGCATCTTTGACTGACAACCAAAACCTTGACCTAAAATCACCCCATTTGAAGTGTATGTGAATGTGTATGTAAATTAATTGTTATTTAAGTCGGTAATTGGTCTTTTCGGGTAGGATAAGCGACAAAATATACACGAAATATATTTCTTTATGCAAGTAATTATGCAGGAAATATTAATATCTGGTATTAGCATCAGAAATTGATTCGAATAAATATTACAATACAAGCCTCTGTTAATACTGATCTATACTGTATTGAAGTTCAAAGCTCATCAGGCATCATCTTGGAAATAAAGCTCATGTCTTTAAGTCCGTACTGTATGTTCTCAGCATTATTTCTCTGAATGATGTTATGATGCGTGTATTTTTGTGTCTTGATTGAGCAACATGTACTTCAGACTCTTCAAGATTGCGCAAATTCTATGGCGTTTAACTAGCATTACAGATTCCATAGGAGTAAAATGTTATGTATGTATGTTTAATTAATTTTTAATTTAACCAACGTTTAAATCATTAACTGCTTCAAAATGCATCTTGATAATGAAATCCTTGTTGAAACATTTTCAGTTAGCCTACTGTACAAATAAAAACAATAAAACAACATTACATAAACAGTGAATAACTGTACGAGTTGAATTAAGGTATACAAAGCCTAAATCTTAAAGGGATAGTTCACCCAAAAATGAAAATTAGCCAATTATTTACTCACCCTCAAGGCATCCTAGGTGTATATGACTTTCTTCTTTCAGATGAATCCAATCGGAGTTATATTAAAAATTG